AAAGAATATTTAAACTAGAAAATTTATTTAATTTTAAATAAATATTTAACGAACACAAAACAAAATTGTTTTCAATGGTAATATTTATTGAAATAGTTCTTTTTTTACATAAATTAGTACAATAAATTGTTTTAAAATAATAAAAAAACAAACAGTATTGAATAAATAAAACAATAATAAATAATTAAAATAAAGATTTATCTATCCACGTAATGTTTATTAAAGAAAATATTTTAAATTAAGAAATTTTTAAAAATGTTTTATTATGAGAATATTTAAGTTATTAGAGGTATTAGAGACAGTCGAAATATTTTGACATTTTTGTTTAAAAATTTTAATTTTGTAGGGAATTTTTCCGAAAAAATTAAAAATATTTTAATTATAAACATTACATTGATAATACTTTAAACAAATAATAGTAAACAGTTAATAATAAAAATTAATATAAAAAAATGTTATATTTTTTGTAAAACAAAATATTTCCCCTTAATTAAATTTATCTAATAGTTTATTTAAAAAAATATATAAATTAAATTGTTTGTCTTCTTATAATTTTAGGGCCTTATCGATAAACGTTTATCAAAATTTTTCTTATAAACCTTTGATAAATGTTTATGTATAAGACCCTTAAAATGTATCCCTAGAAGTATGCTAATTATTTTTCTATAAAAACTAGAACAAATTTCCATAATGTTAACACTAACTAATAATGTTCTTGTTAATTTTTATGTCCAAAACAATATTTAGATATATAATTTACTATATAGTAAGATGTCAAATGTATAAATGTATTAAGAGAAGTAAAGGTTGATATTTATTAGCCGATAAAATGTCTCGACATCAGCAAAAAATGCCAATATAAGACAATGAAGTATTAGGGGAATGAAGAGAGTGAAGTCCATAGTGTAGGTTTAGTATATAGTCTATTCTACAGTATAGTCTATGTTCTAGTCTATAGTCAAGTCTATAGCCTAGTCTATAGTCAAGTCTATAGTCTAGTCTATAGTCTAGTCTATAGTCTAGTCTATAGTCTAGTCTATAGTCTAGTCTATAGTCTAGTCTATAGTCCAGTCTATAGTTTAGTCTATAGCCTAGTTCTATAGTCTAGTCTATAGTCTAGTCTATAGTCTAGTCTATAGTCTAATCTATAGTCTAGTCTATAGTTCTAGTCTATAGTTCTAGTCTATAGTCTAGTCTATAGTCTAGTCTATAGTCTAGTCTATAGTCTAGTCTATAGTCTAGTCTATAGTCTAGTCTATAGTCTAGTCTATAGTCTAGTCTATAGTCTAGTCTATAGTCTAGTCTATAGTCTAGTCTATAGTCTAGTCTATAGTCTAGTCTATAGTCTAGTCTATAGTCTAGTCTATAGTCTAGTCTATAGTCTAGTCTATAGTCTAGTCTATAGTCTAGTCTATAGTCTAGTCTAATAGTCTAGTCTATAGTCTAGTCTATAGTCTAGTCTATTAGTCTCAGGTCTATAGCTAGTCTATAGTCTAGTCTATAGTCTAGTCTATAGTCTAGTCTATAGTCTAGTCTATAGTCTAGTCTATAGTTAGTCTAAGTCTAGTCTATAGTCTTAGTCTATAGTCTAGTCTATAGTCTAGTCTATAGTCTAGTCTATAGTCTAGTCTATAGTCTAGTCTATAGTCTAGTCTATAGTCTAGTCTATAGTCTAGTCTAGTCTAGTCTATAGTCTAGTCTATGTCTAGTCTATAGTCTAGTCTAGTCTAGTCTAGTCTATAGTCTAGTCTATAGTCTAGTCTATAGTCTAGTCTATAGTCTAGTCTATAGTCTAGTCTATAGTCTAGTCTATAGTCTAGTCTATAGTCTAGTCTATAGTATAGTCTATAGTCTAGTCTATAGTAGTCTATGTCTAGTCTATAGTCTAGTCTATAGTCTAGTCTATAGTCTAGTCTATAGTCTGTCTATAGTCTAGTCTATAGTCTAGTCTATAGTCTAGTCTATATCTAGTCTAGTCTATAGTCTAGTCTATAGTCTAGTCTAGTCTATAGTCATAGTCTAGTCATAGTCTAGTCTAGTCTATAGTCTGTCTAGTCTATGTCTATAGTCTAGTCTAAGTCTATAGTCTAGTCTAGTCTATAGTCTAGTCTAGTCTATAGTCTAGTCTAGTCTATAGCTAGTCTAGTCTATAGTCTAGTCTAGTCATAGTCTAGTCTAGTCTATAGTCTAGTCTAGTCTATAGTCTAGTCTAGTCTATAGTCTAGTCTAGTCTATAGTCTAGTCTAGTCTATAGTCTAGTCTAGTCTATAGTCTAGTCTAGTCTATAGTCTAGTCTAGTCTATAGTCATAGTCTAGTCTATAGTCTAGTCTATAGTCTAGTCTATAGTCTAGTCTATGTCTAGTCTATAGTCTAGTCTCTATAATCTAGTCTATAGTCTAGTCTATAGTCTAGTCTATAGTCTAGTCTATAGTCTAGTCTATAGTCTAGTCTAGTCTATAGTCTAGTCTAGTCTAGTCATGTCTAGTCTTAGTATCTAGTCTATAGTTCAGTCTATAGTCTAGGCTCTATAGTCTAGTTCTCTTCTAGTCTAGTCTATAGTCTAGTCTATAGTCTAGTCTATAGTCTAGTCTATAGTCTAGGTCTATAGTCTAGTCTATAGTCTAGTCTATAGTCTAGTCTATAGGTCTAGTCTATAGCTCAGGTCTATAAGTCTAGTCTATAGTTCTGTCTATAGTCTAGTCTATAGTCTAGTCTAAGTCTAGTTATAGTCTGGTCTATAGTCTATAAGTCTAGTCTTAGTTAGTCTCTCTAGTAAGTCTATTCTATAAGTCTAGTCTATAGTCCAGTATTAGTCGTCTACGTCTAGTCTATAGTCTAGTCTGATAGTCTAGTCTATAGTAGTTATAGTCTAGTCTATAGTCTAGTCTATAGTCTAGTCTAATTAGTCTAGTCTATAGTCTAGTCTAATAGTCTAGTCTATAGTCTAGTCTATTAGTCTAGTCTATAGTCTAGTCTATCGTCTAGTCTATAGTCTAGTCATAGCTAGTCTATAGTCTAGTCATAGGTCTATGTCTATAGTCTAGTCTATAGGTCTAGTCTATAGTCTAGTCTATAGTCTAGTCTATAGGTCTAGTCTATAGTCTAGTCTATAGTCTAGTCTATAGTCTAGTCTATAGTCTAGTCTATAGTCTAGTCTATAGTCTAGTCTATAGTCTAGTCTATAGTCTAGTCTATAGTCTAGTCTATAGTCTGGTCTATAGTCTAGTCTATAGTCTAGTCTATAGTCTAGTCTATAGTCTAGTCTATAGTCTATCTATAGTCTAGTCCTATAGTCTAGTCTATAGTCTAGTCTATAGTCTAGCTAGTCAGTCTATAGTCTAGTCGATAGTCTAGTTTATAGTCTAGTCTAGAGTCTAGTCTATAGTCTAGTCTATAGTCTGGTCAAGTCTATAATATAGTCTATGGTCTAGAGTCTAGACTATATTGGTGATGGTTCCCTTTCTTAAAATTATAATTAATAATTAAAAATCATAAAAACCCAAATATTTACGCTGTAACATAAATACATACAAAAAACATGCCCATAATTAAAAATTATTTAAAAAAAGTAATTATATTAGTAATTGTTAAAAATAAAAAAAAAACACTAACAAAATTTAAACCAAAAATATAAATAAAATAAAACATAAAACAAAACTTACCTTAAAAATTAACAAATAAAAAATGTGTTTAATAAATGTATTGAGAAACTTTTGCAAAAATAAACAAAAAAACAATTTTGTTTCTTTTTAATAAAATTTAAATTATTTTAATGGCTTCACTGGCATCCTTTTTTCTTTGTACTAATTTATGTCTTTTCTTTCGATAATTTTATAAAATATTTTAATTTAAATATTTATTAACTAGAAATTTTGAGTCATGGTTTTTCCAATAATTCCAATTATTATATTTGGGTAGTGGTGGTTGGTGGTGGTAGTAGTTATTATGGTAGGAGGATGGTTTTAAGTGAATTTCTTTTTTTATATATATTTATTTGGTTTTTGTGGTTGTTGTTGGATAGTAGTAGTAGTAGTTGAGTTTATGTACTAGTACGTCCTAAATCAAAATTTCGTTTTTTGCTAGTAGAAGTAGTAGAATCCAATTTAAAAACTGTTTAGAAAGACAATTGAGAAAGGAATAGTAAACAAAAAGACAAGGAATTAAGAATTTCGAAAGTTGGTTTTGGGAATTTTTGATTTTGTGTTTAAGAAAGAAGTTTGTTTTTTTTTAAAGGAGTTAGTGTTTTCTTTTAAAGAAAGTAAGAAAAATTTATTGAAAAGAAAGTAATTGTTAAATGGTTTTTTTATATACAATGAAAATAAAAAATGAATTTTTAATGAGGGGCGGATTTATAAATAATTGCAAGACATTTCGTTTATTTAAGAGGTCACTCTTAGAAAAAACAAGTTTGTTAAAGCAAAATTTGATTTTGGTAAAGTCAAGGTACGAAGATTTTAGGAAAATTGTTTAAAGTTTGTGTTTTCAAAATTTCTCTTAAACTGGTTAATTTGTCAAATTGTCAAATATTTAAACTGTATTATCCTTTAGTTATTGTTTTACTTTTTTTAAAAACTGTTAGATTTTTTTGTTTTTCTGAAATTTAAATATGAAATTTACATAATAACAACAAAAAAATTTACAACATTAACAAGACAACAAACAGCTTTAAAAAAATTAACACAACGTATACAAAAAACATAAAATTAAAACAAATTTGTTGAGGTTATGTTTTTGGTCATATAAAAAATTATTGAAATTTTATAGAAAATTATTACAAAATAACAATTGTAAAAAAATAGAGTAAAAATAATAATCTTTTTCAAAATAATTGTAACATGCTTAATATCATAAGGGCCTTAATTAAAGAAAGAATTTTCTCTAATAAGTAGAAATTATGTAGGAGGGTCTAGGGGCAGTTTATTCTATATAAAAATTCTTCATTTTGAGAATTTCGAAGAATTATTTTATTACGAAAATAAACGTAATAGAGAAAATTTGAAAAAAAAAAAAAATCGAATGATCTCAATGTGGTATCAGCTTTAAAATGACATTTAAAGGGACAATTGTGGATCTTATCAATTTTGAAACTTTTCGAAAATTCGAAATTAAGTTCGAAAAAATGTTAAAGCTCGTAAAATAATCTCCAAATCACAAGGATTAATAAAAATATAATTTTATTTTGATTTGAAACCAATTTCTTATATTTTCGAATTTCGAACATAGAAATTCTGAGATTTCTATCAAAATTTTTCATGATTATTAAAGTATTTTTAAAGTAATTGCATAAAATAATGTTAAAAACATGTTCGAAAAATTTTCGAAAATTCGAAATTAAGTTCGAAAAAATTTTAAAGCTCGTAAAATAATCTCCAAATCACAAGGATTAATAAAAATATAATTTTATTTTGATTTGAAACCAATTTCTTATATATTCGAATTTCGAACATAGAAATTCTGAGATTTCTATCAAAATTTTTCATGATTATTAAAGTATTTTAAAATTACTTACATAAAATAATGTTAAAAACATGTTCTAAAGATTTTCGAAAATTCGAAATTAAGTTCGAAAATATGTTAAAGCTCGTAAAATAATCTCCAAATCACAAGGATTAATAAAAATATAATTTTATTTTGATTTAAAACCAATTTCTTATATTTTCGAATTTCGAACATAGAAATTTTGAGATTTCTATCAAAATTTTTCATGATTATTAAAGTATTTTAAAAGTACTTGCATAAAATAATGTTAAAAACATGTTCGAAAATTCGAACTTAAGTTCGAAAAAAATTTTAAGCTCGTAAAATAACCTCCAAATCACAAGGATTAATAAACATATAATTTTATTTTGATTTGAAACTAATTTCTTATATTTTCGAATTTCGAACTTACAAATTTTGAAATTTTTATCAAAATTTTTCATGATTTTGAAAGCAATATTAAAGTACTTGCAGAATATATGTTAAAAAACATTTTCAAAAGAAAAAGAAAATTTTTAAAACTCTCGAAATAATCTCTAAATCCTAAGGATTTCTAAAAATATAATTTGTGTTTTAATTGCGGCCTATTTCAAATAGTTTGAAAGCATTTTCAGAAGTTTTTTAAGTTCGAAAATAGTTTTATGTTAATGAGACCAATACTCTTCGAAATTTCTCAAAAATTAAAATTTTTCTAAGAAAACCCCTTTAATGAATTGTATATCAACAATAATATATCTTAAAACATAACAAATATTTGACACATCGATACATTTAAACAATATCTCAAAATATATGTACAAATTCTTTTTGTAAAAATAAGTTGTAAAATTTTAAGAATTAAAAATTTGACATTATTAGAGTCTCCCTAAATAGTAATTCCTAATTTAATCCCTCTTTAACAAATTTCTTAAAATTCTTGTACAGGAGGAGTCTAGTCTTAAAGAGAAGTTTGTTTAACAAACATTAAGATGAATCATCATCAGAATTAATATACGAAGGTTTTCTAGTATCTTTATCACTATCGGAAAAATCCAAATCAAGACGTTTTAATAAATTTGTTGTAATTGGAGGGGAAGAGTTGGGAGGTGAAAAAGATGGTGGTGAATAATTGTAAGATTGTGCTGAATTAGTATTAGGTGAATTAGATCTGGTAATTGTGCTATTATGTTCTAAGTGTAAGTTATGTTGTGATATATGAGGATTGGTTTGGTAATTGATGGGCTCATCTTCCTTCTTCTCCAATTGTAAACTGGAATGTGATGAAGAAGAGGATGTTGGTGGTAGTGATGGGTGTTTTGATGTAGAGGATGTAATGTTATTATCAAAGTATTCTGTTAGATGTTGGTGATGGTGGTGATTAGAAGGGATTTCAAACGTATAATTAGATAATTCAAGCTTACCATCATCTGCATTACGATTTCCTACGATGGGATTAGAATTCGTAAGAACATTTGAAGAAGTGGAAGATGATGATGTGGCGGAATTGTTGTTGCTGCTTGTGTTGTTGTTGTTTGAATTGCGACTATTTAAATGTGGGACATTATTATGATGATTATGATGATGTTGTTGCTGTTGTTGATGATGATGTTGGTGATGGTGACTGTTGTGGTGATTATTGGAAGAGTGTTGAGGGGCTTGTTGTTGATGATGATAATTGTTATTGTAATGACCATGATGTTGATGACTATTGTTGTTGTTATTATGTAAGTTTTGCCTATTATTAGCAGCAGAATTATGCTGTTGCATTGTTCTAGCCTCATCACCTCCCATTATGGAATTAATTTCAGGACTCATAAGTAAAGGTTCCAAGCTTAATTTATTACCACGTCTATTTGAAGAATTAGCTCCAGCTCCAGCCGAATTCGTAGAGGTGGGTGAACTATGATGTCCCTGATGATGACCACTATTGATACCTCCGCCATTAGTATTGGCATAAGAGTTTTGCCCGGAGTGTGTGCCATGATGTGCTAAAGACGGCTCATTGGAATAGTGTGGCACTTTTGAAGCCCTCGGATGATTAT